TGTCTCTGCAGTTCCTAGAGTCCCAAGCATGGGGAGTACAAGGACAAGGGGGCCTAACCCTTTACAGAGGGAAGCAAACTTTGGGGCATTGTAATGGCTGACACTCAAATGCATCTGTTTATTGATAGGCACCTTTTCAACAAGATAAAGAGAAGGCAAGAATATTCCTTTTTTTTAAAATAACCAAGACAAGCATGTTAAACACTTTTTTAAATAATGGAAATTTACATACTGAAATTGTTGATAAATTTATAAATTACACGCTATATTATATTATACATCTATTGTATGACAGCTGATGCTTTTGGAAGATGCTTGGAGAGAACTGTTTGTTCTAGGAATAGCACAATGGGCCATTCCGGTTGATGCTAACACTCTACTGGCTGTATCTGGTAAGAATTGCACAATTTAATGACTTTGTTGTAGAAATTACCATAAAAATACATTACTGAAAAAAGAACAACATGTAAAGAATAACAAATTCCCGCTGAACAATAGAGTATACCTGTCATTTATAAATCTATATTTAAATGCAAATAATGTTGTTTTGTTGCATTCATGACTGCTTGCATTGTTATTTAAATGCAAATTACTGTGTTTGTTATCATCCAAGGGAAGATTTTATATTAACTTTCATACAATATAGCCAGTTTACATGGAATCAGATATCTCAGAGTGACAATTGAATGGATATTGATATGCAGAATTTTGTCAAAAATCAATATCAGACCATGAAAATGTATTCATATTGGAGCGTTTTTTCCATATTTCTATTCTAGGCATGAATGGTGACAACACAGACTCCCAGAAGCTGAACAAGATCATATCAGAAATACAGGCTTTACAAGAGGTCGTGGCTCGATTTAGACAGCTCCGCTTGGATGCCACTGAATTCGCCTGTCTAAAATGCATAGTCACTTTCAAAGCTGGTGAGCAGACCCAAGCCCCTACTGTCTCCCCTTTCCCTGGCTCGACCACTTCACTAATTCCACCCCCCTCACAGTCTACGCGGGTGCCAGCAGAAGGAGGTGAGTGTTCTCAAGGGAGACCACGCTGCTGCCAGTCATGACCATTTCCTGTCCCTGTGGGGACCACCTGCTCTCCGGGTGGGCCGTCCACTTCCAGAGAGGAGCTTCCCTCCCCCTCCCCTGCCGTGGCTCCTGTGCTGCCACTCACAGTGTCTCCATCTTCATTTCCAGTTCCTACACACAGTGGTTCTGAGCTGAGAAGTTTCCGGAATGCCGCCGCCATTGCGGCTCTTCAAGACGAGGCTCAGCTAACGCTCAACAGCTACATCCATACCAGGTGACCCTGCCGCTTGTCTTGAATGTGTACTTAAGAAAATTGCCTCCCTTGTGAATGTGTGAGCAGGCAGTAATAAGCTAGTTCAAACACAGTGACTAATTAGCCCCTTGCTAGCTAGTTAATGTCGTGACTATCTAGGCCCTCACCTAGCTCCCGGGTGGGTGAGAGGAGCAAATTGAATTAGAAAGCAGGACCAGACTTATCACAGCTGTTGTGGTGAACAAGTCGATCCTTCAAAATAAGTGAAGGCGATCGGGTGACTGGGCCCACCGGACAGAGTGAGGGCCAAACCTCAGGAGTTGTGGTTGACACAGAAGAGATCATCCTTGAAAAAGAGGCAGGTGCCACTTCCAAAGAGAAGAACTGGAGACCTGTCCCGAGAGGTGGGCTGTCCCCACCTTTGGTTGGCTTTGGTGACTGGCATTTGTTATTGGGAACATGCTGGCGTTGTTAGCTGCTGTCGGGTTGATCCTTGACTCATGGTGTCCCCATGCGCGGTGGGATGGAATTGTTGTGATACCTGTGTTTTCACTGGCTCAGTGTGGGGCAGGGAGCTCGCCAGGCTCTGTTTTGTTAGTCTGTCATTGTCCAGGAGCTCAGTCAACCTCTGTTCAACGTCATAGCAAAGGTGAAGGTCTCCGCTGGCAGACGGGTGCTGGCTGAGTTTGAGGCACGTTCTCAGAGAACCGAACAAGTGGGAATTGCACCGCTGCATGACTAATGACCCCGTTTTGAGTCCATACCTCAATCACCCAAGCCGCTAGGGGCTCACTGGTGGGAGCTCATCGAGGCTAGTCGTTTCAACTGCTTCCAACCCCAGCCCCAGCAATGCTCCCTCTGGGCCTCTATTGGACAAGCCCATCAAGCCATACTGGATTTTAGATTTCATTTTCAAATGAAAAAAGCAAGGCTTTTAGAGCAGTAGAATCTTTCTGGCCAGCCCACGTTAGGACTATGGTAGAGATGAGGTTAGAATGTAGTTGCGATTCTAGTTCATTCTCTATATTGATCTTGAAGGAGAGCCCATGGAAGCCTGTCTCTACCATCCCAACACCATGCACTGGCACCCACCAATAGGCGGTTACTGCCTCTCTCATCCATGGGGTCTGAAAAAGCCTGAGTCAGCCATCTATTGGGCTTATATCATTTCTTCAGAACCTCCTTGTTTCTATTATAAATCTTCTTTTGACTGTTGAATGAATAAAACTCCTCTGTTTATAGAATATCATTGAAACACGGTTTCATATATGAGAGTCTGTTTCATATATGAGAGTATATGTCATATGCTTTTCCAAAAGAAAGTACACCAAAACCCAAATTAATTTTGAAAATCTATAAATTTTATATCTATTGACTCGTGGCTCATGGCACTTGACTCATGGCAGCCCCATGCCAAACAGAATCGGGCTCAGAATGTATAGAACAATCTCTCCTGCTCTTGTGCCAATTCGGACTCATCACGCACCCTACAGGACAGAGTAGGACTGGCCCTCCTCTGGGGTTTCCAAGCTATAAGTCTTTATGGAAGCACACTGCCATGGCTTTGTCCCACAGAGTGTCTGGTGAGTTTCAACCAGGACTCGAACCCTTCACAGTTGGACTCCTTGCTGAGAATTTTCATTTATACTCGAAACATATTGAATCAGAACCTACATGGGAACCTAAGAGTCACCTGGGGGATCTCGTTAAAAGGCAGCGTCCGATTCAGCATTATCTGGAATGGAAAGGAAACTTCTTAGCAGGGGATCGAACCAGAACGAACTAGTTTAAGCCACAGACCTTTCAGTTAGCAGCCCAGTTGCTTAACCAGTGCACCACCAGGGTTCTTCAGAATAGGTATGGTAGGCACTTAGTATGTATCCAAACCTGTAAATGGAACAGAACCTAATTCAGGTACTTTATGGCCGCTCAACATGAACTTTTATTGCATGGCTGTTCTTTGACACTTAGGAAAATGGAAGTTATAAGGAATCTCAAACACAAGGATGTGAGATGCAGTTGTTGGCTCAGTCAAGCCTCTATTGTGGGGCAGCAGAGAGAGTCAGAGAGCCCCTCTCATCATCACGTCAGTCAACCAGGCAGATGTGTTGCTCTGCTTCAGACCCTACGAGAGAAAAGCAGAGCACTAGGATGTGGGAAAGGCAAATTCTACTGGAGGGATGAATGGGGAGAGGAAATCTGGAGAGGCTACTAGAGGACACCACATGTAACATAGCCCTAAAGAGCCAAAGGGCTTCAGCAGGACAAGGGGTGCAGTGCAGGGGGGCTGGTGAAGAGTGCTGGTGGTACAGAGCTGGTTGCTAATGGAAAGGTCAGCGGTTCCAATCCACCAGCCATTCAGCAGGAGAAAGATGTGGCAATCTGCTTCCATCAAGATTCACAACCTTGGAAACCCTCTGGGGCAGGTCTACTTTGTCCTGTAGGGTCACTGTCAGAGTCAGCTTCTCAGCATTGGGCAGAGGGCCTGGCCGAGTGTGTGGGAGTTGCTGGAGAATCAGGTAGCGATTGGCTGGGAAGCTTGAAAGAGTTGTGAGCAAGCCACAAATGAACAAACATCTCTTCAGAGAAAGAGCAAGTCCGCTGATTCTCTCTTGGCCCCGAAGCAGAGACCTTGTCTGTAGAAGGGACACCATCTGCTGCAACAAGGGATTCTTATGTCAGAATATCAACCACAGCTAGAACTTAGCATCACTTTCTAGAGTCATACATGTGACACAACTGACTATGCCTTTCTCCTTTGCTCCTTCAAATCGGCGAACACTCTCTCTACCAGCATGTTCCTGTCTAGAAAAATAAAATCTGAAATTGAAATGAAAAGTTAACATGCCGATGGAGTTACTTGAATGTTACAGCTCGCTTAGCCAGCTCTCTTATTAGGACGTAAAGAGAAGGCTAGGACCTGTGTGATCATGAGGTGTCGAAGGGATCACTGAAGACAAATGGGTGCATAAGCAAATGTGGCAAAGAAAGCTGATGGTGCCCGGCTATCAAAAAGTACAGCGTCTGGGGTCTTAAAGCCTTGAAGGTAAACAAGCAGCCATCAAGCTCAGAAGCAACAAAGCCCACATGGAAGAAGCACACCAGCCTATGTGATCACGAGGTGTCGAAGGGATCAGGTATAAGGTATCATCAGGACAAAAAAATCTTACCATAGTGAATGGTGGGGGGAGTGCGGAGTGGAGATCCAAAGCCCATTAGTAGGCCACTGGAGATCCCCTTGCAGAGGGGTCTCGGGGAGGAGATGAGCCAGTCAGGGTGCGATGTAACAATGATGAAACATACAACTTTCCTCTGGTTCCTAAATGCTTTCTCCCCGCCACCACTATCATGATCCGAATTCTACCTTGCAAGTCTGGCTAGACCAGAGGATGTACACTGGTACAGATAGGAACTGGAAACACAGGGAATCCAGGGCGGATGATCCCTACAGGACCATTGGTGTGAGTGGCGATACTGGGAGGGTAGAGGGAGAGTGGGTTGGAAAGAGGGAACCAATTACAAGGAACTATATGTGACCTCCTCCCTGGAGGATGGACAACAGAAAAGTGGGAGAAGGGACGCCGGACAGGGCAAGATATGACAAAATAATAAATTATAAATTATCAAGGGCTCATGAGGGACGACGGAGCGGGGAGGGAGGGGAAAAATGAGGACCTAATGCCGGGGGCTTAAGTGAAGAGGAAATGTTTTTAGAATGATGAGGGCAATGAATGTACAAATGTGCTTTACACAATTAATGTATATATGGATTGGGATAAGAGTTGTATGAGCCCCTAATCAAACGATTTAAAAAAAAAGATCTGGAAGCAGTGAGATCTGGAAGTAAAGAAGAAAGCAGATTTATATAATTTAAATATTAAATCCTTCTCTATTAAAAAAAAAAGAGAAGGCTAGGAATTAGCATTCTCTACAAAATGATATAACTATAAAAAATCAAATACACGAAGCTGTGATAGACCAAAAACACACCTGGAGAAGGCACCACCGGTGAGCCACACTAATGGATGGCATCAGGAGCACAGATAAGGAAACATAATTTTGGGCAGTCCAAGGCACCACTACCACCACACACACACACACACACACACATCATTTCTGGGCAGTACAGCAAACTAAAACAAGCCCAGTGCCATCTCGTTAATTCTGACTCACAGTGACTGTGTGGACCAGGATGGAACTGTTCCCCGGGGTGTCTGAGGCTGCACTCTTTACAGGTGCAGAGTAGCCTTCACTCTCTCCTGTGGGGCAGCTGGTGGGTCAAAGGATGATTTTGCAGTTAGCAGCCCAATGCATAGCCCAGGATGCCACCAGGACTCCGGGCAGTCCAGTACTCCACATAGAAGCACCACCCTAAGAACTCTTGCTAACTGGCTAAGCAGCCCCTTCCCAGCTAGAGAAAAAGGTGAGTGAGAATGGTGGTGATTGTACAACTCTTCTTGATATAATTGAGATTCTGAACCGTATGATATGTGAGGTATATGCCAATACAACTGTTGAAAGTGGATGCTTATAGGAATGGACCTAAGATTATACAGAGATGTGCTAGAGTCAGAATGTAAACTCCACTTTCAGCATTTAATCTGTGACATACAGACCAACCGCTGGTCACATGGCCTGTACTTTGGGAGACTATTCTAATCATCACCCATTGAATACTTTTTAGTGAACTAGATTCCTAAAACTTTCCTAGTTTCTGAGTATGTGTATTAATTGCGTGTGTGTTTGGGGGCACAGAGTTTGGGGAATAAGCTCTTTAAAAAAGAAAAGGGTGGATGAGTCAGCTAGGGGATAATCTACCCACAGAAAATCAAGATCCAATTGTCTTTGGATTCTTCAAAATCAACCTGTTATGAAAGCAATGATTTCACCAGGGGAAACGTGCAGTGTGTTGGGTGCAGGCTGCAGATATGGAAGAGACTTGTCTAGGCAGCTAGTAGCCCCACCCACGACAGCGCCCCTTCCTCTCTGCCTGATGGCAAACAGGATCATAGCAGCGTGGGCAGCAGTGGCCAAGATGAAAGGGAGATTGGGTCATGCGGTTACATT